AGCTACCTGATGAGGTGTAGAGGTGAATATTCAGAGCTTGTGAATACTTTTTGTTAGGTTGTACAGATGTGGCTAGCTGTGATGAAGGCTATCATAATTGATATTGCCTGCACGCAGATTCCACGAAAAAGCTAAATGTGACAAACAAATGAGACACTTCTGACATCTCATACCTGTGTAGGCTGAGTCAAGGTACATTGGATATGCTGGACATTTTGATATGTTAACAAGTATAGGTTCATCTGAATGTAATTTGTCTGTGTACTTGAAATCTGATGTGTCCTGAACTTTTCGTTGTGGCATATAAACATCCTTTCCAGATTATAATGTGTTTGTGATGTAATTGGAAAATGAAAACAACTTCCCTAGAGCATGTAAGCGCACGCATATGAGCATAAATTTGTTGTATGAGCTAGTGCATATGCTCTGAGAATCAGAAAAATGCCATGTCAATAGTTTCATATTGGTATGAGTATCCTTTCTGTTGTGGTTAATAGCCTTCATTTAGTTTTTCCCTCTGGGGCAGAAAAATATTCCTCTCATGGAGAGAAACTCTCATGCAACGGGGATAGTACTTTTTGCTAGCCCAGGCCAATAACACAATGACACGTGGAATAATTTTTCTACATGTCATCATGTTACTGGCCGGGATAGCAAAACAATGATATCCTTGTTACAAGTTTTTTTCCTACATTTGAGCCACGAATCTGTCCATGAATTTCTGCAGGCTGTAGAGTGGACTTTCATTTGCCTCTCATTGATAGTGGACTTTAATTATTCTACTTATTTTCAACTATTATCTTGCAACCTCTTCTATGTTGAATTAAAGGAAATATCTCACAGAACGAAGAAAAAAAATTGTTCAACTTTTTTTTTAATTTTAAAAAACCCCAAAGCAAGCGTGTAGCAAGTGCAACTAGCACCAAGGGGATGATAATTATGAAAAGGGGATATCTATTTAAATCTGCTAGGGCTCGAAATTATGACCTTGTTTTAGGGATCAATTATTTCAAATTACTACACTAGTGGATTCTTTGCAAATCCTTGAATTAGTGGTTCTTTGCAAATCCTTGAATTATTTGAGTGATTAGTTATTTCTTTTATACCTCAACAACCTTTAATTTTATTTTGGAAACAGTCCTAAAAGATATATATATATATATATATAGGGGGCGGATCCGTGGCATCGTAAATTTGACACAAGTTTTGACACAATCTTTTAACCATTAGATTAGGCTACAATGAAAGGATAAGATTAAACAAATTAATTATTTTTCTTTAAATAATTATTTGTTTAAATTAATTTTAATTAACTTACTATAATATTTTATCTCTCTTCATTTATGTTTTCCCAACTTCCTAAAAGCATTAACATATTCTCTCACGTCATCTTCTTCTTCATGCCTTCACTTCTGTTTTTTCTTCTTCTTCCAAATCTTCCTTCTGCACTTGACAGTTTCTCTATCACTACCAGCACTAAACAAGAAGTAGCTCTTCTCCCTCCCATATTTCACATGTTAGCCATTAATTTTTTCCCCCTAAGATTTCAATCAATATAATAAATAAATGGTATGATCTAATTCTCTAAGTACGAATTTTTTTTTCTGATCCTTTTTTTTTTTTTCGTTTGGGGTTTGGTTCAACTATTGTCTCTCTCTATCTTGCTCCAAAATTTGGAGAGGTTTATCTTGCAGTCTTGTATGTTGGTTCTTTTGTTATTTTCTTGAGCTTTGAGTCTCTAAATCCTTGGATTACTTTCAATTCGAATTTCTTTTTCCTCTTACATTTGTGGATTTCTTAATGTCTTTTACCATGAGAAGTTCAAGTTCATTCTCAAACAGTTTAGCATCTAACTGCAGCAAAAAGTATCCATAGCTTCTTAGCACAATTAACAATTAAGACTTTCAAACAATCTCCATAATATTTAGCGAAAATTGCATGAAGTGTTGGAGTGGAAAATTCTGAAATAGATCCTTGTGTGTTTGGAGATCAACTGAGATGAGAACTTTGTTTCCAGATAAAGGAAAAACAATTAAATAAAAAAAAGTTCAAACTCAAAACGTGAGAATAAATGAGATTGGAGGAGATGGAGAGATTTTAGCCTACATTTATGCTACCTTGAAAAGTGGTGAGTTTAATATTTTATTTTATTTGTTATGTTATCAAAATAAAATAAATAAATAATAAAATCACATTTAATCTTAGCCCTTGAAAGTGCTTGCATCTAAAGGCTATAAAATTGTGTCAAATTTGTGGTGCCACAAATCCGCCCCCATATATGTGTACATATATAATATGGTTAAAACCAGTCGCCATGACAGAAAAAGGGGGGACAAATTAATGACGCTGCAAATCTACCCTTGCCCAAAACAAAACGTTAATTTTTAATTCCAACAAAAATGAATTCTTGGTGGCATTTGATATCGCAGGCTCACAGCCGACGTAAGCGAAATACATTGACTTTTTCCACCTGGCAGGCATAATCCGACGTGGGGGTTTCCCATTGGCCAGTGAATCAAGTTAATGAATCACACCCCGCCATGCTGGCTCAGTTGAAAGCCATCCAGGAAACGACGCCGTCTCGAGTACCTTATGCTGGTCCAACAAGAACTGCCGTGGCCCGACAGCTTAGTTTGAGTTTGGCACTTCCCAAATCCCGGTTCATACTAAATCCCGAGTTCTTTCAAACCTCAGTCAAACACAAAAACCACAGCCCATCTTCTGCTCCTGCGTATCAACAATTTCAGAGGTAATAATTCTGCTTCTTCGTCTTCTTGATCTACGCATTTACATGTACAAATAACTATTTGGGCAATGATTTTTTGAAACTTTTACTCATTGATCGTTGATTTTTTATTTTTTTAGTTCTTTTGATGGGTTGAATTTGATGCTTAAACAGTAGAGATGGAGTTGTGGGTCAAGGGACACGTGGCACTGGGTTTGGCGCTGATGGGTTTGCTGGTTTTGTGCCAAATGGAAGGGTCAGATGGGTTGAGGTTCGTGATAGATAGAGAGGAGTGCTTCTCTCATGATGCAAAGTACCAGGGCGACACCATTCACGTCTCTTTTGTTGTCATCAAAGTTGATTCGTCTTGGCATAACGCTGAAGATGGTGTTGATCTTGTGGTAAGCTGTTTCGTTTCTTTTTTTTTTTTTTCTTTTTTTTTTTGTAATTTGTTGTTGCCAAATTGTTTGCTTTTTTCAGAACTTTTTCAGTTTGATCTTATTGTTGAGCAAGTTCCAATGGATTGTCCTGATTTGTATTGTTTTTGTTGCCTTGGAAACTTGGAATTTTGAAAG